TAAAACAACAGTTTATTTATTAATAATTTATTTAGACACTTATTTATTTTATAACACAACTATTCTAATTTATATATATATATATATATATATATATATATATATATATATATATATATATATATATATATATATATATATAATGTCTTTAAATCGTTCACTATTTATATTCACCACTGTCTATCTACTAATTACTATTTATCTTCACTGTCCATATAATAACTGATTGCACTGTGTTCTTCCACCAATATTTATATAAAAATTTCTAAACTTTGGTGGAGTCTCGAAGCTTCTCCACCAAACTAGAAATATTTGGAACAGACCAGAAATACTATCCCGTCTTTTCTCGAATAGTCATCGAAATCACCTCCGCCATAGTTGGTCTTAAGGGGTTTAATTATGTATAATAATCGGACAAGTTGAGCCTCAAAGGCCAAATAAGACAGAGAGGGACTTGGAGGGTTAGAGCATGACTGAATAATGAAATGGCTCACATAACAATAATAACTCTATTGACTGGGTTTTGGGTTTATTTAAAAAAAAATTCGAATGAATCCAAAAAGGAAACCCGCTCCCTTTCAAATTTTTTATCTCTCAACAAACTTATTTATTTTGTAACCCCGGACATCCTCTACATAGTAACTTTAGACCAGTAGTTTTGCTTAAGTACATTGTTATTACAAAATCATATTATGAAACGAAATTTAAATAAAATAATTGTCCTTTTAAATAATAAATAACATTTGGTTATTAATTATTTGATAAATTAAAAATTTACATTATTAGTTTTATGTAATACCTTTTAAATTGGAAACCAATCAGAACAAACTTTTCATATGTATTGTCATGTTGACATGATATAGGGCACTGTATGATAATTTTTTTATATAGACTTGAATACAAAATTTTTTAATTAAGTAGTTTTAAAATTTATTTGAATAAAATGGATGTCATACAATATCTGTATGCTAACTAACCAGATGTTTGGAATGCTAATAAAATGGTTGGTGAGGACTGGATCCTCGGATTCATGAATCGACACCCAGAGTTGTCTTGTACACCGCTAGAAACAAAAGTTTGGCTCGTGATGCCGCTTTCAATGCAACAAATGTCGGTCAGTTTTTCGGCAATTACATGCAAATTCTAGATTGTAAAAAATTTACCCCAGATAGAATCATAAACCTTGATAAAACCGGTAATCCAACAGTTATGCAGCATCCAAAAATAATAGCTCCCAAATTCAAAAAGCAAGTTGGTGTAGTCGCTTCACAAGAAAGGAGTAGCCATCCTACCAGTTTCTATTTTCCCTCGCGTGCATATGAAAGACAAATTTACAGACGGAGCACCTATTGGCAGCATAGGACTAGCTCATAAATCAGAGTACATAACAAGTTATTTATTTTTGAGGGGTCTGAAACATATTAAAGAACATCGCTTGCTCAACTTTTTTTTGCGCAACTAATCGCCGATTGTTGATATTAATGGACAACCATTCAAGCCATGTGAGACTCGAAGCAATCAATTTTGCCAGAGAAGCCGGAATTAGTCTGCTATCATTTCCTCCTCATTGCTCACATCGAATACAGCCCCTTGATGAGTCAGTGTTGGGCCGGTTTAAAGGATACGGTAAAGTGGCTATGAGTGACTGGATGCCTATCACTTATAGTCCAGTAACTGTAGACCTGAAAATATGCAAAGCTGTCATTAAGTCGGTCCAGATTTCCTTTGTGGCTCAATTCTTACGTCTTGACGGTTGCTTTCAAGGGCGAAAACTTTTACCAACACTGCTGGGTCGGAAAGGGCTCAAAATGGCCCCTAAAGTCCGAAAAAATGGTTTCCCGCTAATATCTGCCAAAATATACAAATTAGACAATTTTTGTTTAGATAAAAAATGAAGATCGTATCATTATCTACAAAAATGGTCCCTACCATTTTTTTCGCAAGACGAATATTTTTTGCAAAAACGACCTTCGAAAAAGCCCGAATTTTTGCACTGAATAGAAATGTTAGTTTCTCACTGAATTTCCGCTCGAGGGAGTTGGGAATACATTGATTTTCATGTTTTGGACTTTGGAGGAGACCAATTGTAGATGGCGCCAGCGGCATACCTCTGCTCACTAAATTATGAGGCCTATGAATGAAAATCCGGGCACCAATCGATCTTTCGACAATTATTGGCGGATTATACGGGATTTTTTCTGCAAAGGAGCGCAAAATTTAATAGAAAAGTGCAAAAAAATTTTTTCATGTGGCAGTCTCAAATCCCGGCGCTTTGCCTAATAGTGGGTTACTAGTTTTAGAGTGTGATGAATATTGACCCGAGAAGACCCTTTATATTTTTTGCGTCTTTTGCAAAATTTTCGCCAACTTCTATCGGAACAAAATAGGTCCAGGATTTCAGAAAAAATAAGAAAATTTCTGAAAAATTTCTTTTATTATGAAAAACATGTTGAAAATACGAAATACATAGCATTGCTTATAATTTATCATACGTTAAACCATTCAATGTCATCAGAATCATACTCTTCATCGTCTTGCTCTTGCTCTATTCCTTCCCCTCCTCCACGCGTCCCTTCCCCCTGTTTTTCCAACCCCTGTGTTGCTGTCTCGACAGCTATTTGATCCTCCTCCCTTTAACCCCTTCTGGGTCTCGATCCATCTCTAATTCTTCCGGGAAAATACCTTCATTTTTGTTATAATTAAAACACTGTGTCGACTGACACGAACCACAGACAGGCGAGCATTTCAGTCCGGCTTTCAAACATGAACAATTATTTTCGCAGCCTGTCTTGCACTGACAAAAAATCATCTTCAAGAGTTCGGGGGGGCCGGATCCCTTGTGGTCTGCACCGGTAGCAGTACATCTTCTGCACGTTTCCATCCCCATTCCTTTGGTGGCAGTTCGTTTCTAAGCCATTTCTGCACTTGTAAATACATATACCCTAGCAGCTTCTTGGGTAGGGGGTAAGCATTCTAGTTTTATCGCAGTCTTGTTTTGGGCCAAGTTGTTGAAAGTCTTGTATCGGAGGGCCTGGAGAGTTGTCACCTCTTTTGGAGATTTGTAAATCGACATCAAAACAGTTTCTCCGTTCTTGAATACAGTCTCATGAGAAAGGCTCTGATTTTGAAAACATTCAATAGCTGTTTTGAGTTCACTGGACTGACCTTCTCCTGCCAATTTAGACAAATTTTCCACTACTGACTTTTTCCTTTTCTGAAAAAAGCAGAGGTAGTATCGCTCCCAGTCATTACATGTTAAAACAGAATGTTATCTCTCATGAAAGGCTGATCATCAAGGCTCCCGGAAGAAAATAGCTGTTCCTTTGGCAGCTTTTAAAAAATAAATTTTCCGATCTCTTGGGGTCAAGGCTGTTAATAATGCTAGTACATCAATGTCCTCTGCCACTACTATTACTGTCGGGTCATCTGTGGGGTTTTTCTGCAGCGCTGTTTCTACAAATAATGAATCAGCATCGTCCAAAGCCTGTTTCGTTGAAATACCATTTTCTTCCAAGGCTTCTATCAAATATTTGATATACCGACTTTTATTATAGTTACTCGATAAAAACTTGTTCATTGGAACCGGTACAGATATGCCAGGATCACATTGGATGTGAAGACATGACTTGTTGGTCGCCCGCCGCAAACGTTCAGCCCCTTTAATGCTATTAGAATTGAGGTCATACCCATCGAATACAACTGTCACGTCCTGTGGATAATGGTCTTGAAGATATTTGACGTATCTGACGAAAATTTCTTTGAATGTTTCATTCGTGGTGTGCATTGAGTAACAATATAATGAAATATGAGTTTTTAATTACTGCTTGTTTTAAAGATTTCTAGAACTCCGAAAACGTATGAAAAATGCAAATAAACAAAAATCAATTTTGTTTTAAAACGCCAGGAAGATACTGGAAAAAAAAATCTGAGATCATTCGAGACATCTCAAGATCCCATTTAAAACAAAAATGGGATAAAAAAACTATTAAAAGAAAAAAAATATGAATGAATTACTATAAAGTGGTCCAAAATAGTGGGAAAACGCAACTTTGACCCTTTTTTCAATGTTCTTGACAGGAAATAACGGGCGTTAAGGCACATGGATCGATACCTTTGGATTTTCTCATTGTAATGAACTTTGAATCATCGAAAAATATCAATTTTTGACCGAGTTCTGAAACAATTTGTCCACCCGTTTACAAGCTAACAGCATTGCTATAGAGATAAAGCAGGGGCTGAACGAGGGAACTTTTGATTGCGGTTATCTCGAAACCTGTCGAATTTCCGACAAAAATGATAAGGACCATTTTTGTAGATAATGATAAGATATTTCTTTTTTATCTAAAAAAATTTCTCTAATTTGCATATTGTGGAAGATATTGGCGGGAAATCAAATTTATGGTCCATTTTGGGCCCTTTCCGACGCAGCAGAGTTGGTAAAAGTTTTCGACCTTGGAAGCGACCGCCGAGACCTAAGAGTTAAGCCACAACGGAAATCTGGACCGACTTAATGACAGGTTGGTCCCTTCAGTTACTGGATTATTAGCGATATTGCCGCATTTTATGGCAAATATGTCTAGATTTAGCACTCCTGAATTGTCGCCACTGAATCAACTAGCACTAGGAAAGGAAGTGTTCCAGCCATACGAAGTCACAGATCAGCCCGCTCTTGTTATATCGGACGTAACTGAACGATCGCCTTACTCTAGAATGCAGCAGTCGCCAATATGCCTAGAAAGCCAACAACCTGATCCATCTCAAATCACCCAATAAGTGACACAGGTGCAAGTGGAACAAATGTCAACAACACCGATACCAGATCGAATGATTTCTCCCAAACAGTAGTTAAAGACTGGTCAAACATCTTCGGTGGCATCCAAAGCAGAAAAGACAGCTTGAACTACCAAGTGCACAATCACATCAGAGCAATGTCGGCCATTACAAAAAGCTCAAAAAACCAAAAGCTTTCGTAAACAAAACTAATCTACAATCTACACAAGCACACCTGTTAAAGAGGAACTGAAAGCCCAAGATAGGGGCAAAAACGCAAAAGTCGCGAAGGAACCATTTTTTTCTAAAAAACCTAAACAAACTAAAGTTGAAGTTTCGGACAGTAAGTCAGACACAATTATGATTTTGGAATTAGAAGATGAAGAAAAAGACGCGGTCAATCCCATTGGTCCAATAATGGATGACGAGAAAGTTGCCGTCGGATCGTTCATATTGGTACGGTTTGCTACAAAAAAGCCTTCAAGTACTACGTTGGACTTGTGGAAGAAACATCTCAGGGAAATGAGTTTTCTATGAATTTCTTAGGCAAGAAAGGCAAACAACTAGTTTCCCGATGTGCCAGACATATCACATATCAATCGAAGGGATATCGTTTCAATATTGTCAGCACCAACTTCTTCAGTGACTCATTTTCCATTTCAATATTAATTTTCATGGATATAATGTGTATTGATCAATAAAAGTTGATTTAGTAGATATTTCTTTGTGTCCACTTTAGCCCTTGTAAAAATTGGTCTTTGTCCACTATGATCCCAGTCCGGGGTTAGAGTAGACAAATAATATACCTTGGTAAAATGTTAATTAGCATGGAAATGGTTGCTATTAATTTTTCTAACAGCAGGAGAAAAGTAGTCTTATATTCTTGTAAAGATAATATGTAAAATTGGTCTATTTTGCTTTATAAAGCTGAAGTAATTTTTACTCATAAAGAAAAAGCGTCCCTAGCCCCGGTATCCCCTATAGTTATACCTGGTGTACAATTAGTGCGTAATTGTCAATTTTTCAAACAAGTTTTAAATAAAAGTTATATGGATTTGAAAAATACATATTTTAAAAATATTTTTGGATATACAGATAAAAATGTGTGTTTTTAAATAGAACACCCTGTATTTTATTTTATTTTTCGAATGGTTTGGTAATACTGTATTCAACCCTAAATGTCTTTAAAAAATATTATAGTGATACCAAGCAATTAATTTTTTTTTGAAATTAGAGAATATACTACAAATTAAATTATCATAATTTAGGTAGGTATACATTGACTTTAAAATTGTTTATTATATGTTGCAGAAGATGGTGGTGCCGCCGTTTCAGAAACTGTATTTTCACCTTCCTCTATCGTTTCAGTGTTGGAAACTTGACTTTTTCGCAAGAAATGTTTCATACTGCTAGCCATCTTCTCCCTTTCTTGGACTCTAACTTTTTTTGCTCTCGAAATTTTGCACCAGAAGGTCGTTTTCTCTTCTGTGGCTCCTAGAAATTAAGGAATACTAGATCAAAAATTGGTAAAGGCATTTAATATTGAGGGTAATTCAGGTTTTAGTGCACAAACTTTAACAGAAAAAATAATAAACATATTTTTTAGACCTAATTTGCCACACAGGAAAAAATCGCATTTCTCGATTTTCAGATGTGAAACGTACTTTTGTAGTATTTTCCACAATCTCTTAATAATAACCGAAGTAAGTCAAAGTCAAAGGTATATTCCTGTTTCGCCTGACATAAAAATTTGGTACGCTTTGGTAGCGTTTTGCCCACATCCCCAACTAGCCATTCATAAAAGTGTATTTGTTGTGAAGTCCTCATCATTGTCTACTGTATAGTCCAGGAGACAGTAACGATTTTCGGTATTTATTTTCCCAGTCAGCAAATACGGATAGAGAATTGTAGGGTTAGCAATTTTAAGCAAAATTTATATATATGTATATTTAGAGGGGGGGGGGGGTGTCCTATGGGTTGAAGCCGAAAATGCATCCGAACATACGAAAAGACGGATCGTTTTTTTCAGTGATAGAAATAGTTTTAGTAGTAAGAGATATACTGAAGTTAAGTAAAAAAAATAGTCTGATTAATCTGTGAGTATGGATAATATATTTGGCAAGTGCATAAAATACACTTTCACACGAGTTTATTTCTATTTCTATGACCACAATTATTTAAAGAATGTTCCAGGTGTTTTGTATATTAAAGTGTACGCATAGGACACATAAATAAAATCATATATCACAATGTATCATCTAACCAGTTGGTTTATTTATAGAAATAAAACATAATAATTGAAGATATTACAGAAGAAAATAGGGAAATAAATTACATTTCCTTTTACACTTTTATATAATAATTATTTTATTTAGAATTCACGAAACATTTATTACTCTACATTAATTATAATAGTTAGTTTCGTTATGTCTAATCATTTATACTAGAGGTGTGAGGAAAATACAGTGAACTGTGGAACGCCAATATCGTTGGATGCGAATAGTAGAAATGGTCCTATAATACTGCTAAAAACATAGCTAAATTTTCATGGAAACACTGTACTTTTGACATTTGCAATACTCCAACGCATATGAATTATTGATGTAATCTCATGATTTTACAGTAATAGTTTTTGCAATTTTAGTGTGATTTTTAGATTATTATGGTTATTCCTTTTAGTTGGTTTTGATCTTTTGCGCTTTTAGAGTATTTGTCTTTTATAGTTATAGTTTTTAATTTGAATTTTAATATTGTGGTCTATTTATATTTGATTGCTGCTTTTCGACTAGTGCTTTATTCTTTTTGTGTTAAAATAAGCTTTATAACCATTAAGTACATGCTTCTAGTTGATATCTACCTAATCGTCATCGGGTGCTTGCAACAATGGGAAAAAAGTGTATGGTTTTTTTGGTGTAAAGTTAGACGCCTTCATTTTTCAGGTAACTTATTTTTAGTTATTTTTTACTTAAAAGGATAGCAATACGTCCTGGTTCGGGGTGTGACTGTTGGGTTTTAGCTATCTGAGCCAAATTGTCGACTAAGTGTCCTCTTTTGGGGCACTATATAGTTATATAGTTATATAATATGTTTTTTTAATTATTTTTTAATAGGTATGCAGCTTGGATGAGGGCTTTAGGAAGAGAACCTAAGACTGAAACACTGACTGTTATAAATGCCGTTTTTAGAGCGCATTTCATAGAAAGTGATTTCATTCTAGCAGGAACTAGGAAACGTTTAAAAAACATGCTGTACCAGCTATTACTTTAAGACCTCGTCTCTTTAAGTTATTATTACTTCATTCTAAGGCATATATTAAAATGGTTTTTAACTTGTGCCCTTATGATTAAAAGATGTAGGTATTTTAGTTATGTTATAATAGAAATATATGATACATTGTATTGACCTACTGGCCACTGGTCATTCCACTTTTACTCTTTTTTTTCATAAATTGTCAAATTATTTAAAAACAAATAGGTACATACCTAGCTATTTTCTGTAAATTACATTAAAAATGTAAAAAACGTATTTCTCATCTATTAAATTGTTATTAACCATAAAGAATATTTTTAATTTGTTAAAACAAAAATAAAACCTGATTCGATAACTTAAATCAGTGAAAATAAGTTGCTTGAGATGGGGTCGTTTTTATGGAAAATTTTATTGTTATTACTTTACTAATAAAACTACAGTTAATTTATCACACAACGGAAGAGTTAATTGGATTTTCTTCTTGTTGAGTTTCAAAAATAGTAATTTAACATGATTTAAAAACAAATACATGAAATGGGCAAAATAGGCCTGCAAAGGCACTTTGTGCACAATCTCACCTGTATCGATGTGACGTAATGCACGAATTCAATCTGGCTTACTTTTGTTAATAGATTGGCGTTCCATTTTAAATATACAGTTCACTGGGAATAGATTATTTAAATACACTTACCGGGAAAACAAGTACGAAAAAAATTCACTGGCTCCTGGACTAGTACTGTATCGAAGGAATTTTATGAATGAAACAATATACGACCCTAATACAATTACGGTCTACTCTAGTTCCGCTGTTGTCAGACGTTATTTTTTTTTTTTACAATTTAAAGACCTAACAGTATTTCAAGCAAACGCAATAACATTACTGCAGTTAAAAACATCGCAAACTTGGCATCAATATTTTAATTTTATCCAAATATTGCATTTCTGTCGAGGATCATCCGCGTTGACGTCAGAAATTGTGTAAACACCAACGTTCATTCTTCAAAAATTTTGTAAATAATCCTATCTGTCTTGGTTATACAGGGTGTTAAAAAAAAGTGTCACAAAATAAAACGGGGGGTAGTATGGGCCAAAATATGCAGAAAAGTCTTAATAAACATATGTCCGCAAATGAATGGTTTCAGAGATACGGAGTGTTTTGTATCATTTTTTGATTATCTTTTTTCATTCTCAAAAACTTGCTTTTCTTATCGGAGTCTACCGATGTTTTTTCATAGATACTATTTGCAGTTATTATTTTGTTGTGGGTGAATAATTTTATAAATTTTCGTTATGACTGTTTACACTAATATTGAATTAGCTGACATGCATTTTATGTACGGTCGTGCAAATGGCAATGCATTGAAATGGAGGGAGGGCACTTTGAACATCTCATTTAACTCTATGTTGTTATTGATTGTTTATAAATATCATTGTTTTTTTATAATAATAAAAAATTGTTATAAACACAAAATGGTCCGTATCTCCGAAACCGTTAATTTGCGGTCATATATTTATTAAGACTTTTCTGCTTATTTTGGGTCATACTATTCACCATTTCATTTTGCGACACTTTTTTTTTAACACCCTGTATATCTATGGTTTTGCCTGACTACATGTTAAACGAAAAAAATAGTTACGATTCTCCTGACCTGCTCAGGTAATAAATATGTATTTGTTATAAAGAAATCTATTACTAACAAATGAATAATAAAAAGAAATGAACATAAAATGAACTTAAAATGTTATAGTTATTTAATTTGATATAAACAAAAAATATAGAGCACCCAGTATAGTAAAAAGTTAGTAAAATAAAAACTAAACATTTTTTCAAATTGACGAAGCGTAAAGCGAATAAACTATTTTAATTTATAAATTTTTTTATGTGTCCCAATAACCAGCCAGGACAAAAAAAATATATTTAAAAATTACAATTCCTCCAGTAATAATTTAAACTATACATTACTTTAGAAAAGAACAGTATATCTATGAAAAAAGATTTAAAGGAAAAATTATCAAGATGGTTTAGAAAATATAAAAATAATTGATTTAAAAACACTGCTACAAAACGCTTAATAATGTCAATATATGCAGTTTTTTTTTGTTTCAAATCAAATCATCCTTATAAATCAAAATTTGCATGTATTTTGAAAATGGCCTTTATGATAAAAAAAGCACGCACCATCCAACTTATGGTCAGGCGAAACGATACCACAATTTGAGCATGTCAGGCGAATCGGGAAATTTTAATTGGTCAGGCGAATTGGGAACAGGCGAATCGGGCATAAATC